AGAAGAAAAAAGTATCGGTAATGGATTGACTTATGTGCACTTTCAGATACACTTGAAAGTAGATCTGAGATGAGAACTTTGCAGTTTACGTATGGAGTTGAGCCTGCCTTCGATACCCGCCCCAATTAAGAGTGACATTGATTTGAGAAGAATACCCTAATGGGCAAGACACCAATTTTACACATCACGGTTTCATCACGCTTTCTGCGTTTTTCAAACTCAGCCTGAATCATTCACGTTACATGTATGCGATTCATAAGGTTAAAAAAGAGATAGACGCTAAACGGGCTCTCACATTTCTATTCTCTTGGATGGGGTGGAGAACGAGGCAGGGAGGGATGGAGAGATGGAAGGAACTCAAGAGACTTTCCAGGGAGTGAGGGACGTGTGTTTGTGATGTGTTGGTTGTCATGAAGACCGGATGTTATTCTCCTTTCCCCCCTAAGTGACGAAAAATGAGAATGCACTGCAGCACCTTTTAAGGTAAACGAGAAGGAAAATGTTCTTTAAACTCACATTCTTCCTGAATTGACACCTCTATATTCTCCTTTGCCTCAAGCATCTTGTAAAGGTTTATTTTGAAGACTTTGCAGGTGTATGTACCAACATCTGTGTCCGAAACATTCTTGATGGTTAAAGTAAAGTTTCCTTTTCTTTTATTTGTCTGATAGTGCGGCTTTGGTATTATAAATTTGTTGTTTCTTTTCTTTATTTCTTGTCCGTTGAATTTCCAAGAGCTTGAGGCTGTAAGTTTTCTAACCCTCGTGGAAGAGCATATCAAGGTTATTGTGGAACCTTTTCGTGCAACAACAGCCTTATCGACCTCCGAGATCTTGGGCTTCAGAGCAATAACACCTGATTTAAGAAAAAGGTAAAAGAAACAATACGAAATTGAAACTTTTATAGACACAAGAGCAGTTCATGGTCGGTCTCTGAGATGGACGAGATGGGAGTGCATAGCTTCAAAAGGAAGGCGGGACACAAATTATTTGTATATACATATACATTCATTTCCCAGTCTGTGGCTTTTTAAAAAAACTTTTGGTTATACTGAAGTCAGCCTCTGTGGTACAAATAAGTCATTTTTAAGCAGTGTGGCTAAAGAATTTCTACCCTGTAATAACTTTTTATTTATTCTAGTCCTTTGATTTTCCAGGGGTTTGAGGTTGTAAGAGATGTTCAGCCTTGCTGGCCGCCGAAACACTGGGCTTTAGAGTAGTAATACCCGATAAAAGAAATTTGAATCAAATATGATGAAAAATAATGATGACAATGGGTCAATACTCATTCTCAGTCGCATGGCGAGAAGGTCTTGATGATTAAGCAAGGTTTCAAAGGCGAACAGAAGTTGCCGTAACAGCAAATTATTATTCTCCTTTCTCCCCTAAGTGACGAAAAATGAAAATGAACTGCAGCATCTTTTAAGGTAAAAGAGAAGAGAAATGTTGGTTAAACTCACTTTCTTCCTGAATTGACAGCTCTATATTCTCCTTTACCTCAAGCATCGTGTCAAGGTTTATTTTGGAGACTTTGCAGGTGTATGTACCAACATCTGTGTCCGAAACATTCTTGATAGATAAAGTAAAGTTTTCTTTTCTTTTATTTGTCTGATAGTGTGGCTCTGGTATTATTATTTTGTTGTTTACTTTTCTTTAATTCTTGTCCGTTGAATTCCCAAGAGCTTTAGGTTGTAAGTTTTCCAACCCTCGTGGCAGAGCACATCAAGGTTACTATGGAACCTTTTCGTGCAACAACAGCCTTATCGACCTCCGAGATCTTGGGCTTCAGAGCAATAACACCTGATTTAAGAAAAAGGTAAAAGAAACAATACGAAATTAAAACTTTTATGGACACAAGAGCAGTTCGTAGTCGCTCTCTGAGATAGACGAGATGGGAGTGCATAGCTTCAAAGGA